TCTAACTTTTCTTGATTGGGGGGATATAATCTGCTGGAGGTCAGAGGTTGCCAACCAACAGATTCTTCAAATCTAGTGTCAAGATAAATCTGAACTTTGTCAGGGTTTACTCACAATGATGACAACCTGCTGATGAATTAGTGCTTTCATGTTCCCCTTTACAGAGAACAACCATGATTGTGAAACTCTGTGTGAGTGCTGGGAAATGAATTGTTCCCATATCCTCTTTTCCTGTCTGGCTGATTAAAGGCTTGATTTGTTAAACATTAACACCTGCACGCACAGCTTGAAGTCCTACTGTATGTTTCTCAAATCAGTCTCTGTGAAATTAAAGTAGCAAATATAAATTAGGATTAGCATTAAATAGAAAGCTGCAGAGAGTGTAGTTGATACAGCATGTATGTTTTGGGTATAACTCACATTTGATGTGTGAGAGTTTTTGGTTATTATATACAAAAATGGTGTGTGGCTTTTGTCTCTTGCACAGATTTTAGGGTAACGTGATTGAGCTAATTTACCAGTCACAAATATAAGAAATGTGAAGGCAAGAACTAACTTATTTAAAAGTTTTGTTTTGAGCCTACTTTCTTTCACTTTTATGTAGAGACTTGTAGAGCCCCCCATTTGATTTCATAAATAATCCTACCCACCATTGCTATCATTGCTCTTATTAGGCTATGTGGAGAGTTACTTGTAATGCATTGGGGTCCCCCAGGGCTCCACTTTGGGTCCTTCATTTTTATTCCCGGTACACTAGATTCTTGCTGTATCATTACTTACTACAATTTTTTCCCCTGCCATGTCTTTGACACTGAACTTAACGTCTTTCTCAGCTTTTACGCTCAGGTTCAGGCATGCCTGCGGATTTACATGTCATCTCTACTTAGATTTGTGCTTACTGTGCCAAACTCGGTCTCAACAAGAGACGTAGTTTCCATGGAAAATTTCATCCTCTAAATCAGTCAGTAATGAAATACTACACAGGCCATCCAAAAATGTCAGCATATTACTAGACACCACTCTGTAAAGCCAATATTTCCCTTAGAGCAAGGCTATTCAATTACAAATTAATTGGGCCAGATTTTAAATTGAGGGAATATATATCAATGGGCCAGACATTTTCAGCAGCAGCCTATTTAAAACTTTTTAAAGCTTTGGTTAATGACAAATTTTAAGCAAATGCAAATGAATGTAGCAAAAATCAGCAGTGTTTATTGTTTCACTTTTGGAAAAAGGCTAACATATATAGTTATATATTGTTAAAAATTATTTGACCCCCTTATGCAATGTGCCAACTTCAGATTTTGGGCAGTAGTCTTAAGTTCCAACTTCAGCATTTGCTGTGATTGATTATTTCTTAATTCCCTGTAATGTTCATCCCAGTTTTTTCATATATTGTGGTCATAGTCATGGAGGCAGTGATAGTATTATCAATAGCTTTGTTATTAGCAGTATTATAACTACATTTGGTAATAACTATAGAACTGCTAACAGATGACTTGAAAGCTGATAACCACTGTACAGTGATGCTCAGTGAGCTGTTCGTTTAGTATTTGGAGATATAAACAAGAACGACCACAGAGAGCCCTGGGTCTGTGGACGGAAAATATCTTGGCCGAACATCTCTGCAGCAAATCTGATTATTAGACTGAAAGTAGGGCTTTGCAGCAGAGACATCCTCTTCCATATGACCCTCAGACATAAACATGGGCATTCAGGAATGCTCTCACAGTCACTTACTTACTCTAAACCACTTACGTTTGCAGAAATGGTCCCAGACCTTGTTGGTATGGGCGGTGTGGTTATGAGGGCCGGTGAAATGCGGCTTCAATTTCTTGGCTTGTTGCCTCAGCATTACTACCAGCCCCGCCCTTCACTCTGACTCATACATAGCGTAATGTATACACAAGCATGGAGGGACTCAAGCATTGAGCAGATTTCTCTGTTTCTTAGGCTCAGTCATAAACTCTATGGATCTCTTGTTGACTTAAGAATCATAAACAAGCACATCACTTTAGACTTTATCTCATCTTTCTGTAGCTCTCATGCATGCATACTCACACACACCTTCCCAAACCTAATGTATCAGTATGCATTCAAGAATGACCTCATCTCTTGAGTCTTGTCTCAGGTTTCATACAGAGCTGAACAACCTGATGGTCCAACACACACTCAGTTTCTGTCTTTCTCATTTCTCCTATTCACATTACACTATTATGTGCACACATGTAGACTATGGGCATGCACTGGAGGAAACACTTAGGAGATAAAATGTGCAAAGGAGGAGAAGAGAGAGCAAGAGTAAGTGAGGGCACGTGTTTGTATCGGTGGGGGTGGAAGGAGTACGAGGCTATGAGACCAAATTTGGAAAGTGAATCCATCACCTCAGAGCAAAAGCCATTGCTTTACAAACAGCCGACCTGCCAAGCTCACAGCTGTGTGGCCAAGTCGACTTTTATTTTTCTTAGATAAATTCACACAAGGGACCAATATGTCCTTTTAAGACATGCTGGAAGATAGCAGGCACTGTTTACATTCCAAATTCTTGGCTGAAATATGATCAGTGCCCTTTCCATTTGAATAACTCACCGTATGAATAATTAGGTATGATTAAACTTTAGGTTGGACAAACACAGGACACAATCTATTTTCCATCCCACATGAATTTACAAGCTGATTGTTGACAGAATAAAACCTCAGCTTTCTCCAACTATGTTTAAACAGTCTTATCCTAACGGGGCCCCAAAGTGTTTTTGGACGCAGATTAAATGCTAACGTCTTTCAGAAAACTTACAGAGTGTTTCCTTATGTCCTGGTTTATGGCTGGCCACACCATATATCCTGAGTGACGTGGTGTTATTGGGTGGAATCCCACAGATGGTCAAACTATCAACACACTATTTCCTCAAGATCTGTATATATTCAAAAGCTGCCCCTGCCAAACTAAAGCAAATTGACGTGTTGATTTTTTATGATAAGAGGCAGAGTGAAAGATTTTCCTTAACCATTTGCTTTATGAAATGGTCGATAAGAATTGGAAAGAGTCTTTGGTGACATTTACAGATTGATTGTTTTGTTCAAGCAACAGTCCAAAACACAAATATATTTAAATTGTAATAATATAAAACAGGGCATCAGATCAGATCTCCACATTTCATCATCAGGAACTAGAGAATGTTTGGAATTTTTCCCTAATAATTTAATCGATTAACAGACTTATTGTTATTTAACTTTCTTCCCAGTGGTTAATTATTTTATGGCTACTGGTATTAGCAACACTGATTCCTTTAGAAATATTATACATTACAAGTATGGTTCAGCATATTCAACGTATTTTAAAGCTGCAGTAATAAATGTTTTTGTGTTAACAAAGGAGTCACTTAAGGTGTAGAACATAGACTGTAAAAATGGACATTGCTACTGTGATGTCACCCATTTGTTTGTGGAATCCCCTTTTGAAGCCTTGAGTTCTGCATTTTGGTGTTGCCATCTTGGTTTTTTGGAGTCAGATATGACCATATTTGGGCGAGAGGCTGGTGCTGTGGAGTAGCAGGGGTGGATCTGACTGAGAAGCTGAGGACACTATTGGCAGACAGCCTGTTAATCAAAGTGGCCTGACCTTAATCATGTGTAACTTAAAACCTCAATAAAATGTAAATGGGTGAGTTGTATAAAAATTCACCTCCTGTACAGTTGTCATGAAGGGAAAATTAGCTCTAGAGACCAAAAACTTTTTTTTTTCTTTTTTTTTTGTACCAGGCAGTAAACATGTTTATTTCTGCTGTAAACTTGGGCATTTTAACATGGGGATTGACTGGGTTCTGGAAACAGCCTCAAGTGGCCATTTAAAGAACTGCAGTTTTTGGCACCTCTATGTTGGTTTCACTTTTTAGCCCTTCAGGTTGCTGCCCCGGAGGTCTAGACAAATGATCGAGTAACCTTATTGAATGATACATTTCTAAGTGCGAACCTCTCTCACTTATATGGTATTCATTCATTGGTGTCTTTAATCCCAATATTTAGGTTCACGGGTATCAACAGAAAAGATGAAAAAGATAAACAGACGTACTGCTAGGCTTGAGCAAGATAAAGCCACTGTGCGTGACCTGCTCAGCACAGTACAGCAGATGGATAAAGCTAGCAGCCAGCTGTAGTGGAGCATTTAAGAGGTAAAGAGACAGATTTTTTTTCTCACAAGTGGGTGAAGACCAAAACAGAGCAAAAAAAAATGCTGTGTATGCATAAACAGCTTTGTGCTTACACATTAGTCATATAGACCATGTCAAACTTGACAACATTAAAATTCTAAATGGGTTCAAGTGTATTTTCTTTTAGAGTATTTGTTAATGCAGTAGCTGGCAAGGAAACTAGATTTATAGGTTCCTTGGTAGCTGACAGGAAGTAAACAGGTACCAAAACTGTTGTCCTAGCAACTGAATAGCAATGAAACGGTCTATTCACTTTATATGGTGATAATTTGTTAAAAGTATACTACGCAGGATCAGGCTCATACTAAAGTAGTACCTCTTAATCATCACTGATGACCCACTACAAGTGTGTGGTGGTGTATTTATCTGCACAGACTGTTCCCTCTGCTTGTATTTTCTTCTTACTTTACTCTGTTTGTGGGCGTAGAGTGCAAATGAGGTCTATAAAGAAGTAGCAATCATGTAGTAGCAGCAGGCATCCAAGAGAAAGCTACAAAACTGCACACACAGTGTATATTCAACTTGTTCCAATCAACCCAAGCTGCAAAATAAAATTACTGCTGCTTTTAAATTAAACATCAAATATACAGTATGTGCAAATACAAAATATTTAAGGATTTAAATACCTCTGAGATTCTATTTTGTGAAAGGTAAAAAGCCTCTGAAATAGTGGACACTGTCATGATATAAGCATATCAGCCAACCTGAGTGCCACTAAATCATGTCACCTTTTATTAGTTTTATATTGGATGCCCACAGGTTGACATATGTCTCTTCTGTGTTCCACCACAGTGAAGTACATCCGCGAGGTTTCTCCGCTCTTCAAGAAGCCGTCCCTAGTGGCCGACCTACCGTGGGACGGCGTCCGCCCACAGTCACCCAGCTACAGTGGCAGCGAGGACTCCGGGTCGCCCAAACACAGCAGCTCCTCATCCTCCAAAGACAGAAAAGTGATAAGCCTGAAGATGTGCTACATCAGCAGGAACCTCACCATGCCAGATCTGGAGAACAGGTATGTTGTGAAACTCCTCAAAGTTTGTGTGTATATCACAGAGAAATATCTGAGTATGTAGGAGTATAGGCGTAGTTGGGTGTGTGTGTGTTTTACCACTGGGTGTGTTTTTTTTTCCTGTGCTCAACTTCTGTTCATTAGATTGGAATGTTTGTTGTGTAAGAGATAATGATCCTGACTAAATGCTCTTTATGTTTGGAGTTATTAAATAGATGGTCATCAAATCAAGGATCAAGGATGCAAAATAGCGAGCAAGATACACAAGTGAAAATTAGATCATGTAGACACATCTGCAGCTTGACTATTTGACTTTGGGTTCTTTGTTTCTGTATACATCCATGGTTACAGTTCAAACAGGGAATGCCAGTAGCTAATGCAGCATGATTTTTCATGGCACAGATTTGCCAAAATATAAACAGACACAACAGACACAATATTAAACTATTATTGCTTTTATTTGACAGAAAAATAGTTCAGCCATTACTCAATATGGCTCGCATGCCAGATCTGGCCCATGATAAGGTGCCAAGTTGTCGGCAAGCATTTTCGAATTCACAAGGAAAATAAATTGATTTAAATTGACCTGACCTGTGCGGGGCTGCTGCGACTGGCTCCTGGCCACCTGTCATTTTGCAAAGGCCCCTCCTCCCAGCAAGTCAAGTTCAATATCCCTGATGTACAATACCACTCAAAAGCCAAATAATGGCATTTCTGAGTAACTTGTAAAAATAATACCATCCCTATCCTTTTTAGGACCCATTAACCTGTCAGGTTTGTATATGCCATAATTTTCTTTTATTGGTCTAGGACAGGGGTAGGCAACCTGCAGCTCTGGAGCTGCAGGTTGCCTACCCCTGCGGTTCTTTGGCACCTCTCCAGTGACTCCCTGTGGCTTTGGCAATAAATTATTTGGAAATGAATAACCATTAATAACCTGTAGGCGGAAAGTGATTGAAGTGATTCTTACATTCTTCAACTGTAAAAATGCGTAGCCCGTACACCAATTTGAAAAAATGTTTTAACATTTTGTCAACCAAAATGTGCATCATATGTCTGCCCTGGCGCCTTTTTCTCTAAAATCATCACTAGCAATTGCTACAATAGTCTTGAGTCTTCCTAGCTAGGCTGGCTTTGGATTCCAAATACAAAAAGGGAAAGTCTCAGGGGAAAGTCGAGAATTCAATAGTGCATGCAAAGTTAAAGTATCAAATAATCAAATATAGCCCACTGCAGAGTAGCCACCTTGTGCTGAAACATATTAATGGATGCTAATTATCTATTAGCAATGTTGATAGGCCAAATTAGACTTAAAAAGCTGTGTTACCTTTATTATGAGGCTCAAATATGTTTTGCAGCTCCAGACAGATTTCTTTTTTTTTCTTTTTTGGCAGAAAATGTCTTTTTTGATTGTTAAGGTTGCAGATCCCTGGTCTAGAACATTGAGGAAGCTCCAAGGAGATTACATAGAATAATTATATATTTCATTGCAACTTTCAAGTATATCTCAAAGAATAAAATGTGTGTTCAACTAGAATATATCCTAAAAGAAATAAGACTCTCAAAGAAAACTGTTTTATCAGACAACTCCATAGCTTAGAATCCTGGTCTTAATGGTTCACGTTTGTGAATGTGGTTAGTTCTTTTCCATGAGAAGTTAACATTATTCCATGTAGTCCCTGTATGGGGCTGCTGATACAGTTCATATATTTCCTTTGTCCCATATAGACTTCTTGAGCTCCATTCCCCAGATGGCCAACACACGGTGGTGCTGCGCTGTAAGGACGGCCCCACTGCCAACTCCTGGTTCACTGCCGTCCACACCAACATTGCCGCACTGCTGCCTCACACCCTGGCTCACATCAACGCTTACCTAGGGGCCTCGTCTTCGTCCTCCACGCACCCCCATCTCAAACACATTGGCTGGTTGGCCGAACAGGTATATTCAGCTCTGTTTAATTCAACAGCTGCATGCTATCTTATACAGGTGATAATCCTTTGCAGTTGCTCAGGGCTTATTGCTAATCTTTAAACATGAGATGCTTTGCAGCATCACAGAGCAGGATAAAGACAAGAATAACACTAATGGAATAACACCAAACATAATGATAATATAGCAAATAACTACATACTGTAAATAGACCTAAACTATATAATCAAAGAACAAAGTCACAAAAGCAATGACACTAATTATTTTTGAAGATTCCAGTATGTCTATGTAAATTTAGTCTCGAGTTTCTTCTGGTTGTTTAATGCTAATTCCACAACTAACATTCTATGACGCAAAAATAAGGCATTTCTGTTGTCTGGTTAATGCGCTTTGCAAGCTGCCCCTGAGCCAAACATCATGGTTAGAAACACCACTGTTATGAGGGGACTGTTTGATTTGCAATTTAACAAGACCAAAATAGTGGTGAGTCTTCTTAAGTAATATAATCTAGCTCATTGTGTTATGATGGGGCTACAACTGACATGCTGAACCTAGTCATGCCCCCAGCTTGGTCAAGAAATACTGTAGCTCCACATTAAAGATGTTTCTAAAACCACACTGACGTTTCTATTTCTACACTTTCATAACAAAGATACAAAGTTTAAAATTAAAATTAATTAAATTGCAATTCAAAGAAATGTTTTGCTGAAGTCATGAATTATGATGCCACTAAATTGTAAAATTCAATACATGTCAAGGTAATATATATTCTGGGGCACTGGCCAAGATAATCACACTGTAAAGTATTTTTTATCAGCACGTTTTGATGGTATTGTGGGAACACAGTACATTATCAGGTCAGATAAACATATACTTGAAACACGAGTTGCTCTCAAAAGGAAATGGTATCAGTGCTTTTTCAGTGTAGCTTGTTACGGTAGCTGTTTCAGTGCTCCTAAATCACTGCACGCACATAGATCTCAAGCATATACACTGGCATTTCTGCTCCGCAGCAGCACACAGGAAGAGCATGTTTTCTTGAATTAGCTTTAGTCCTAAATTTAAACACATCCATTGAAAAGTGAACTAGGGCTGTTCTCAATTCACATCCAGGAAAATGCTCTTACTGTGAATAATATCTTTTCACCTTGATGAAGTGTTCATTCAAGGTCGTGTTGAATGTATGGATGCCTGGCTGCGTTTATCTTGACCCGGCTCAAACAGGAAACAGTCTAATGCAAGTTTCCGTTGCATTACACTGTTTCCTGTAGAGCCCACCTACTCGCCACAGTTGCACCCACAAACACACTGTCTGGTTTTATGTCATTGCTTTTCATTGTAATTCCACCAACACCCCAGTCACCCAGCCGTGACTCAGACAAATACACACCGCCCTATTTTTACCACAATGCTCTCAAAATTCAGGTCAGACTGTCAGGGTGAGCTACTTAACTCCTCTGCAGCTGTACATTGTCAAACTCAATTTTCCATGTACACTGTTAAACTGAAGTGCTACACTTGTGCCGTGTACAAGTTTGTACCACACTAAACTACATCACAATCACTTTTATCTGTAAGACCAAATTTCTATACTTGTACCTGTCCAACTACATCACAGTACCTGTATCTTGTCAAACTGCATCACTACACACACCCAAACAACTGTTTTCACACTCTTAAACTATATTACTACATCATTACAACTCTACAGTCAAAGTACATTTCTGTACCTGTACCCCAAACCCTGTAGTAGTTAGTATGCATCACTATACTTGTACCCCATCAAACTTCATCACTATTCCTGTACCCCATAGAAATTTTTATCCCATCAAACTACATCACGATACCTGTATCCCATAGTAATTCACAATCACACCCCATCAAACTACATCACGATACCTGTACCCCATAGTAATTAACACCTCATCAAACTACATCAGTAAACCTGTACCCCATAGTAATTAACACCTCATCAAACTACATCAGTATACCTGTACCCCATAGTAATTCATACCCCATTAAACTATGTCACGATACCTGTACCCCATAGTAATTCATACCCCAATAAAGTACATTACCTATACCTGTATGTAAGGGGTAATGTATAATGAGCCGGTGAATACTGGGAAAATAACTCCCGACCGGCTCATTATACATTATCCCGCTTATTAGACGGCTAATTATCAGTTAAATAAATAATGTTGTCTGTCTCTGCGAAATGCATTAAAACCGACCGGATTCGACAACTTTTGGTGAAAGTTTTGAACTTACCCAGGCTTAGTGGACTGAACCGAGGCATAAAACTCACGTAAAATGTCATTAAGCATGACTGCAAAGTGTGTATTCAAATCCGTGTTCTTTTGTTTTTGGCAGAGAAAGTCCGTCAGTAGCCTATAGTAGTAGTAGTAGTAGTAGTACAGTATAGTACAGTAGCCCATTTTGTTGTCTTTTTTGTATTTATCTCATCTTTCTCCTCCTCTATCACTTGAAGCTCTTCAGGTGTCAGTTCCTTGTGCTGTTTTTCGCTTGATTCTTTTCTTTCCTTCTCCATTTCTTTTTCTTCAGTGGCATCCCATTCCTCAAAATCCTTGTAGCTACTCTCCAAATAAGTTAAAAGAAATGTTAAAATCAGCCATTTCTGTTTGTTTTTTCCCTCGGAAGTTGTTTGACAGCTGCAGTGTTGCAGGGCAGCGTCCCTAGCAACGCTGGGCTACATAGCAACTGTGTAATTACATAGTAATATCAGGCCGCTGAATGCCGCGACTGACCAATCAGAATACAGCATTTAGTAGTAAGTCATACCCCATCAAACTACGTCATGATACCTGTACCACATAGTAATTCATACCCCATCAAACTACGTCACAATACCTATACCCCATAGTAATTCATACCCCATCAAACTACGTCACAATACCTATACCACATAGTAATTCATACCCCATCAAACTACGTCACAATACCTATACCCCATAGTAATTCATACCCCATCAAACTACGTCAGTATACCTGTACCCCATAGTTATTCACACCCCATCAAACTACATCACTATACCTGTACCTCATAGTAAGTCATACCCCATCAAACTACGTCATGATACCTGTACCCCATAGTAATTCATACCCCATCAAACTACATCACTATACCTGTACCCCATAGTAAGTCATACCCCATCAAACTATGTCAATATACCTGTACCCCATAGTTATTCACACCCCATCAAACTACATCACTATACCTATACCCCATAGTAAGTCATACCCTATCAAACTACGTCATGATACCTGTACCCCATAGTAATTCATACCCCATCAAACTACATCGCTATATCTGTACCCATACCCCGTAATGGTTTGTACTATGTCACACTGCATCATGATGCCTGTAGTAACTACATCACTATACCTGTACCCCTTCAAACTACACTGCAATAACCATACCCCATACCCTGTAGTCATTTATACCCCATTAAACTACGTTCATCACCATACTTTTAACTCATTAAACTACACCACTATACCTGTACACTGCCAAACTACATCATTAAAATTGTCTCTATTCAGTAATGTGATATTTTACACATGAACTGAATAGTTAGATCTATATGCCATATGTAAGTTAATTATGGACTTATTTTAACATACACAGGCTTACCTATAATAAAAACACACCCTTTTCATGAGATCAGAGAATGACTCTATGATGCAAGGTGACTAATGGTAGGAGAAAGTGGATATATTGCTGCCTTTTGCAGTAAACTGATGGAATTACTGTAAATTACTGAAACAAAACATGAAGTAAAAATGTAATTTAGAGATTTACTTTGTTTTGATGTATCAGTTTAACTTATTAGTACTGATATCTCCCTCTGACTTTCTTCTGTAGGTCCAGCTGGAAGGTGGACGGCAGCAGTACAAGCCAGTGGTCATGGCACTGACCGAGAAGGACATCCTGCTATTTGAATCAGTGCCGTGGAGCAGAGAGTCCTGGTCCATGCCTCTGCTCACACACCCGCTGCTAGCCACAAGGTAAAGACATTGGACAGCAAGTGCACTCAGCTAAAGCCAGAACGTTCAATCCTACCTGACTGGTCTGCTTTAGGTCTATCAGGAAACATATACATATGTCATGCTATGGGTCAAATGAAAGTCACAAGTAGAAATTACTCCTTTACAGATTTAACTTTTGCTCAGAACAGTTCACTGTCATCATACCTGTGAAATTAGTTTATCATTTCTTTATGGTACAGATATTTATATTTATGTTAATATGCATTTGGGTGGGACATTTTTTTGTTGATTCTCTGCAAGATGTCAGTAAATATTCAAGAGCATATCAGCTGACTGTCAAAAGGGGAAAAAGGTTTCAAAAGGTTAAGCTGGGTTTCAGTTCAGTACTTTCCATTTACTGTCACTGTATGTTTAACAAAGTGTAATTTATGGTAAGTACCTGGAAGTTTACAGTTGGTCACATTAAAATGAAAGTGAAATAAAGTTTTGTTAGGTCAGTGGTGACCTGTTCAGTGTAGTTCAGTTTTGTTGCAGTGTAAATGTGAATTCTGGGGGGAAACAACTTTTACAGCTGGGAAACCCCACCCGTAAAACACAACTCAAATTTCAACACTCAGTTCATTTCACTTAGGAAATTACACCAGCCAGACCATTCGATGTTGTGGGTTAGCAACTTCAGAGACCAGGACTCCTTGCCAACTTTAATAAACAGCTTAAGAGGAGCTAAGCAATTTCAATTAGGAGCCTCACCAATGCAGATTATCTATGCGGGTGGTCTTTGAGAATGTTAAACGTGTCTGTATTTTCATTTGTCTCTCCCTCCAGACTGGTTCATTCTGGCAGCGCCCGGGGTTCTCCCGCCCAGGGTTCAGACCTGGTGTTCGCCACTCGGACGGGCACAGGGCGGGGCATCGAGTCCCACATCTTCCGAGTGGAGACCCACTGGGATCTGTCTTCATGGACGCGAGCCCTCGTGCAGGGGGCACATGCTGCCGCTGAGCTCATTAAAGAGGTCTCCATTGGTGAGTGTGGGTGTGTGTGCAATAGGTGATCAGTCTGTAAGAGTTTAAAGTTCAGTCAGTCCCTGTGGGCTTGTAGACATCCAAATAGTCTTAAGGCTGAAACAAGCTTCAAGGCAAACATATGCTAGGGTTATTCTGAAACATATGATGTTTCTGTTATACTTATATGTACAACTTATAGTGTTGTAAAACAGGCGTATGACGCTCTCCCCAACAACAGCTGTAACAACTAAGGACATTCTGTGGTGGAATGTAGCTGTATACATTTACATGTGATATTAACTCTACTGAGGTACAATTTGAGGGACTTATGCATAATGAGTACTTATACTTTTAATAGTTTTGGTACTTTTTTTAAAAAAAAAAAAATAAAGTATTTGACTTAAAATCGAGTATTTGTGGCGTCACTACTTTTACCTAAAATGGCTATAATTGGTATTTATTTATATATTTTCTGTCCTGTTTTATGTAATATTTATACATAATGTAAATGATACTGCTCT